CTGTCAACATATGTTACATTGTAAGAATTATTATTATTGTTATTATTATTATTATTATTATTATTATTATTGGTACCGGGGATTGAACTCGGGTCCTTGCACTTGCAAGGCAGGCCACCGAACCACTGAGCTAAATTCCCGGCCCCCGTAAGAATTCTTATTAATGATTAGGATCAGAGAGAATTCAGAGCTCAAGCAAGAAAAGAAGGATGGGATTAAATCTGTGGGAATACCAAGTCCAAACCACCAAAAACATCTCTCTAAAACTTGGTTATTTGCTTGGGCCTTGAATAAATATGGGAGAAGACAGCTTCTCCCTTCTATTCTTTCTTTGTCCTTTTAAACAAGAAAATCCTTTTTGTTTTCTAGCTGAAAAAGAAGCAGGGACTTGGAGATGATTCAGGAGGTAACCTCAGCAGTTTCCAAGTCCAAACTCTGTGCACAAGACATCAGGGCTGGGGATTTAGTTCCATGGTAGGACAGTTCTTCTCCACAGAAGAATTTCAATTACTAAACATAGAAGGTATGAAGGAAATACAAAATCCTTTTTAGAACATTACAGTAATGGTCACCACAGACAGTATCAGCAGATGCGAAAACTGGTGAAGGGAAACGGTATCTGCACAGCTTCAAGTGCTCTCGCAACAGACTTACTAATTACAAAGAGACAAACAGCATGCTCACAGCGGGGAAACTCAGCAGACCTCTGCCACCAAGTAATCAAGGCTAATATCACCAGGAAGCCCTGACCCCAAACAGCCTGTGTTGTGATACACTAGGAAAGTCACAGCGCTACTTCTGTGGATTTCCTGCCCAAAAAGAGAAACCTCAGTCGAATCCTGAGAAGGAACCTGATGCCCTCAGATGGAAGGCATTCTCCAAAATAGCTGGTCAGTGATTTGAGTCATTTTGAGGAAAATAAATGCCTATTGGGATCATAATGTTAAATGAAATAAATCAGACCCGCAAGCTTAAATGCTGTACAGCTTCTCTTGTATGAGAAGCCCAAAATATAAATAAATTAAAGAGCAAAATAAAAGATAGGTAACAGGAAATAAGGAGATAGATCTTTCACAAAGGGGACAAGGACCAAGAGATGGGGGAGGGAGGAGAGGAGGAGAAGGGGATTTGTAAAGAGAATAAACCATGTGTTATGTCCATGTGCCAACTCCACACAATGACTGTAATCACTGTGTACTGCAAACACGTACTAATAAAGATAACAATTTTTTTTAAATGTCAAGGTAACATGAGCCAAGGAAAGAATGAGGAACCCAGAGACTAAGGAAATACAATAAACACAAGACAAACACAGCAGAAGCTCTCAGGACAGAAAAGGGATCTTAGCGGGAAAACTGGTAAAAATCTCAATAATGTCTGTAGTCTGTAAGGCTTTAAAGTCTGTAGTATTACCAATTACCAATGCTAATTTCATAGTTTTGATATTTTGCACTATGGATATAAAAGATGTCACCATTAAGGAAAGCGAGGTGGCAGGTGTTGGGAAATCTCTACGATTTTTCTCAGTTTTGCTGCGAGTCTAAAATGACTTCAAAATAAAAAGTAAAAACTAACAGGATTTAGGATGTTTCTGAATGTTACTAGATGAGAACCACTCAGGAGTCCAAGTTCAGTCCCACATCAGTAAGACCTGGGTTGCAGAGAGATCTTGTGGAACTGGTAAAAGTTAGGAAGTGATCTGTTATAAGGACATCTAAATTACTAGTAGCTGTGGAGACAAGACATGCAAATATAAAATTCTTAGTGCATAGACAGAGTAAAACGGCAGCCAACAGGATCTGAGCGGGTGATAGATGCATCACTTCTAACTCAGGATTTCTTACAAAGGGCATTTTCTGCCCACCTGTTCCCCTTTCATCCCTTCACAGACAGTGCTGCCAGAAGCCAGCTCTGACCATACCAATGGAGACAGCCATGGCCAGTTTTCAAGACAATTTCTTTGCAATTAGGATATCCACTAGATATACATTTCAGTTCATTTGTATGGCAACTTTTTGCAGCGATGGCAGAACTTCTAGAGCTGTGCATGCCGGCTAAGGGACAGGTACCATACATTTGCCACCAATGTTTTAGGGGTTGCTTTAAAAATTATGTGAATTGTTTCAGGCTCAAACACATGTCTATGTGATTCATGCTTTTCACCTGCAGGCAACTGCTAGTCTTCCTGCCTTCCTAGTCCTAGTGATGGCCACAGAAATACATATCCCAAGTGCCCCAAGGTAGAAACACGCCTGTCTTCTCATTTCCTCTTATTTTTCCTTCTCATTTTCTCACCTATTAATGCTGCCTTCTAAATCCAAGTCAAAGCTGTGTCATCTCTGGTCCCATCACTATGGGCTTGGTTCAGACTTAATCATTTTCCTCTCAAGTGAGAGGGATGACTTCCTAACTGCAACTTTCTAAACAAGCACTCTGGCACTGATGCTAGATTTACCTACAAGGCCAGAGCACTCCTGTTGAGGCGAAGGCTCAGATTCCCTGAAAGGTGAAGACCCTAGGAAGCCACTGTTCTCATATCTAGATGTTCCCCCAAAGCCTCATGGGCTCTTAGGTGGGGTTGTAGGGAGGTGACTAGATTGTGCCATCATCAGCGGATTCACCCACCTCCTGAGCTTATAGCTGACTTGCATTAGGTGGGGTTGGGCTGGAAGAGGAGGGTCACAGGGGCGTGGCCCGGAAGGGTTTATCTCTTCCTGCTCCTCCTTTCGCACTCTCTCTGCTTCCTGGTCACCCTGGTCACCTCACTATGGACTAAACCTCTACCAACTGTGAGCCAAAATAAACCTCTCCTTCTTTAACTTTCAGGTATTACGCAGTTTGTCCTGCCATGAGGAAAGTGACTAAAACAGCCACAGGGAATGGTGACAACTTCAGAGCTTCTGCTTCTTCAGGCTGTCCCTGGAAGCAGCTGGCCGGCCAACTGTGTCAGGGTCGCCCTATTCCTGGTCTGACCCATGGGCACTAGGCAGCTGGCTTCTCCAGGCCTGTTGCGTGTTCAAACTGCTCTTGGAGCTTTTTCCTCAAATGAAAGCAGATTATACAGTATTATTATTATAATAAAGCACTTTAACATAAATGTCAGGTTTTGTTTTATAAAACACATTGTTTTATTATTAAAATATATTTTCTGATTAAAATGTAACAAATTTTATTTATTGTTGGCTGTTGTTTTAGTATATAAAATAGAAGAAGCATTTAAATGTATGTTTGCATATTTTAACTACAAATAATCCAGAAATGAAAATTTGGATTGACCTAAATTCAAATTTACATTTACTTGTTGATAATGCAAGACAACATGTCTATTTAAAAGAATTCCCAAACTGAAATCAGAAAAATTGCTAACAGTGACAACCAATATTTTTGTGACATGCCAGGCACTGCCATAAACACTTTCTTATCTTCGCTCTTTTAATCTTTTGGCCACCCGGAGAGGTAAGTCAGCTGTCAAGCCCAAGCTCTGTGGTGTGCCACAGTTGCCCAGGCCACAGAACTCAGGCTCGGGTTCAGGCAGTCCGACTGCACGGTGTCTCAGCCCCTATTCTTCTATCCACACTGGCACTCGGACCTCTGTGACAGTGATGCAAAGGATGCCAACCATGGCCACCACGTGCTATACATATTCAGTGTGGGTGCCCAGCGTCCCTCCAAGGTCCATGAGTGCAAAGCTTAGTGCTGGGATGACACTGTTGGGAGGGGTTTCCTTTCCTCCGGGGCTGTGCCAGTGGAGAAAGGAATGTGGGTGGGGTCCTGGCCTCTTCTGGCTCCTCAAGAGCTTCCTGGCCAGGAAGACTGAGCTCCACCAAATGCTCCCCACTATAGCCATCCAGCTATCCCCCAGAGGCCTAACAAGGACAGATCCTCCTGATCTTGGAGTGGACCCTCCAAACCCATGAGCCAAGGGAAGCTTTTTTAAAAAAACTGTAAGTTAATTATCTTAAATATTTTATTAGAGTGATAGAAAGCTAGCACACCACAGCAGCAAAAAACCACCACCTGACATTTCTTCCTCACCCCTGTGAGTAGGCCCTGGGCTAAGCCTCTGAACAGCTTCTGTCACTGAAGTCCCACAGCTCTCCTAGGAAGTACGTTTAGCGCTGCTGATACCAAAGCCACAGAGTGAGGGGGCTGTGAGCCTGGTCCAGCTCCCTGAATTTGAACCCAGTACTTCCTGGGTGAATGTGCTAAGTGTGCCTCATGGCACCAGGGTAATGAAACAGCCCGTGCGAGGGCCCAGCACCCTCGCACACAGAGGCATTTGGCTTCCCTCGGTCTCGAGACCGGGCGCACATAGGGGAGCCACTGCAAATGTGCTGGGCCAGCACTGTGACCTCAGGATGGTCCTCAGTTAGGCAAGGAAAGAAGTTTTAGATGAAGATTACCTGAAAGGTGAATTAATCTTGCTGTACAATTTCCCTGACCATTTCCGAAGTATAAAACCTTGGACGGGCCAGGTGTGGTGGCGCATACCTGGTAACCCCCGCATTTGGTAGCCTGAGGCAGGAGGATTACCATGAGTTCGAGGCTACCCTGGACTACATAGCAAGACCCTATCTCAAAAAACCAAAATAATAAAAATAAAACTATGGAATGCCACTTTAAATGTAGTATAGGTTTAAAAATAACTGCGAATGTATTTTTCAAACAATGTTTGAATCAAATGATTTGAGGGACCTCCTAGATCGCTTCCTAGGAACTTTAGAATTCTTCAGAATGTAGAATGAAGGCCAGGGATTTAGCTCAGTGGTTCTGCTCCCTGCCTCACGAGGGCAAGGTCCTGAGATCAATCCCTGGTACCAAAAAAAAAAAAGAATGTAGAATGAAAAATGCCATTGAGATTATCTCCCTTTTCAAATCTGAGTCTGACCTCTTCCTTCTGCCTCTTCCCTCTCTTGCTAGCCCATGCTGTGTCCCCTGGTTCCCTCTCACACCACTCAACTTTTCCCAGACTGGTCAGCCCTGCCCTCTGTGCCTCTTACCTGTGCTTCAGCCGAAGTTTCGCCCCTCCTGACCACGATGCTTTCCTGTGCTGGGGACCTGCGGTGAGGCGCTCCGGGCTGGAGTCACCAGGACCCACATGGCCTGGGTCCGCACACACGTCTCTGTCAAAAGTAGGACAAGAAGAAGCTGAGCAAGACGGTTGTGTTCCTGGGCAGGAGCTAACACAAAAACATGTGAAAATAGAGCCAGGAGACACAAGAAAGCACAGCTAAGTTCAGGGTCCCACAAGGAGAGTCCACAAATGAGGCTCTTCTGCCTTTCCTGCCTGTTACTGTATGAAGCAGTAAAGTCTACTTCCCAGTTAGGGAAATCGATTTTCTAAGCAAGGAGGAAGAAAGCTACATGAACTAGTATGAAGGTAAACTCTCCTCTCACTCAGTGTTGACATTAAGCAAAAAATTGGGTTCCCTGAAACCCAGTCATGCTGTCGCTTCTCAACCTCCCCTTGAGGGGAGCAATTCCCAGTGCCATAGTCTCCACTGCAGTCTGTGGGTGGCAGCTCAGAAATTCAGGCCAACTCTTGAGTTTGAGCTATTTCAGATTGTTTAGATTCCACTGTGCTGGGAAGCAAGCCTTTTGTGTGTCCTTTTCAATCCACCTCCCACCCCGGTCCCTAAAGCCATTCCCATAACTCTTTCCTCCATACTCCCAGGGAGCCAAAGAAAAATTTTAAGCCCCACATCGCCAATGTGTTCCGCTATGGGAACAGGCATACTTCTCCTCAGCAGAAGCCTAGGAACCAGATTTCCAAACACTCTTCATGGCTCCTCATCATTAGACTGTCCCCTGCCTCAGGCTTTGAAGTGGGTTTTCTCAGTTTGCTGAGTACAGTGTGTGTGTGTTTTCAATTTCTGTCTTCAAGGATTTTTCTAAGCCTCTGAGATCCAATTGCTGAGGCCGCTCCTCTTCATATGATTTGCCTGGGAGGGGAACGGATTACTGAACAGCTGCGAGGAATAAATCCCGGCCATCTGGCTTCATACTTCCTGAAACCCAGAATGGAAGTCAAAGAGTTCTCTTTCCTAAGTCAAAGAAAAGGGAGTGGGAGAGATGACCAGGAGGTCAATGGGAAGCTCCCATTTCTAAGCTACATTTTTCCTGTTTATTTTAGCACTATGGTTGGGACATAGCTCGAGTGTGTCCCCCAAAGATTCTCATGTTGAAGCATGGTCTTTGGCATGGTGGGGGACCTTTGAAAGGAGAGGTCTTGCATGAGCCAAGGCCACAGAGAGCCCTGGCCTTGGAAGAAATTGAAGCAGTCCTCCAGGAAGTGAAATGGTACCACAGCAAGCCTGGCCCTGAGTCCCTCTCTGGCCGCCTGTTTAGAGCTGTTATCTCTTGCTCTCACAAGCACTCCTGCCGGGGTGCAATCCTCCAGGCTATAATACACCCGAGGGTCCTCACCTGGGGCGCCCCACAGGCCTGCTTGTCTCCAGAACTATGTGCTAAGTCGAATTCTCTTCTTTATAAAGTTAGTCCACTGGGGATATTTCATTATAGTAGTGCAAAACTAGCTTACACATTTAGTTATGTGGTATCTATGCACGACCGTCTCCCAGGGTATATTGCTCTTCTCATCAGATTTAGAATCCTTGACTCTTCATATATTAAATATAATTCCATACTTGAAGTCTGGATAAGATTGTGTCACTATGTCCTGAATGGTCCTGGGCAAGCAGACTCCTCTGACCATTTGTTGGTAGTAAAGTAAAAAAAAAAGGTACTGGGTATATACTAGTTAGGAGTGGGGCTCTGGAATTGGTCCTGGCTCTGCTCACTGACCAACTCTAGGATATTCTCTTATCTATAAAATGGTGTGAAGGAAGAACTTCTTTCACTGAGTTGTTGAGAAACATATACTTCAGGTAAAATATTTAATTTCTACTTTATTTTGGGGGGTATCAAGGATCGAACTCGGGTCCTTGTGCTTGTGAGGCATGTGGTGGAACCACTGAGCTAAATCACCGGCCCCAGGTAACATATCTAGAATGGAGCCTGACACATATAAGCTGTCAGTAAAGTAGGTATCATTACTAAACCTCTTTGCAGAATTGCTGTAGAATTTCTTGATAATATGGTATCACCTATCTAACCTACTGTCCATGTATGGTCTGTGTTTAACAGACTAATGTTTTCATGACTGATTTCTCTAGAATCTGCATTTTAGAGCTCCTTTCAGCTAAGATGTTAGGTAAAATAGCTGCAGATAAAAACGCCTAATTTATTTTGGGAAAAATAGAAGAGCCTTAGTCAGGGAAAGTTAACATGTCAAAATATTTTACAGAATTCACTAAGTAGTCCTCAACTAGGAATTCTCACTGAACTCTCTAAGGCACTGACCCAATGGCCATGTGGCTTAAACTGAGAGGAAAGGTAGATTCAAAGGTATCTTGCCACTTAATAAATGAATATAAAGATTATAGAAATGGAAAGTGCACATCTGAGACTCTTTTTCCTGTCAGCCACTGGACAGCTGGGGAAGAAATTTCTCCTTCTGGTCTCCTCTAGACCCTCATGTTGTGAGAAAGCACTCAAGGCTAGGCCAGAGCTTTCATACAGCTGCCATGGTTTTTAATCACTTCCTTGTGTTTTGCCTAAACCACAGTTATTTGCTCTGTCCTTTCTGCACAGAGGCTTGGGCAGAAGCTGAGTTCCTGCCTCTTTCCTTTCCCACTCCTCTTTCCTAGGAGACACTCTGAGACAAAGGCCAGGGGTTCTGGCCATCACAGTGAAGGACTGGCAGCAAGGGCAAACAAACGTTATTCCTCCCCACCGCTGGGAGCGTAGCCCTAGCACCCCAGCACTGCCCTCCAAAGTGACGTTGTCCTACCAGTTCAGAGGACAGCTGTATGTGACTGTTTGACCACAACCCCCAGGCAAGGGTACAGCAGCCTCCCTGCCAATCCACACATCTGGTGCAGAGGCCAGTCAGACAGAGGTCTGAGAAGCTGGGTGGGCCTCCAGCAGATGTACCATGTGATCCAGGGTTCGGGCTGGAGAGGGTTCAGAGAATCACCAGCACCCAGATCACATCTGCTCTGCCTGAAACTCTTCTGGAATAATCTAGACAATCAACGAACATTTTTAAAGGTTTACATGGGAATGAAAAACCTCTGGTGAGCCTAGACAGAAAATCACCCTGGAATGAGCCCTAGGAGGCCCAACACCCTAGAGCCCCGGGCCTATCATGTTGCCCTCTCTCCCCTGCCACATCTGTGCACGGAATTCATCTGCACCTCGCACTCATGCTGCCTTCCGAATGCACACACACGCCCCCCCGGGCCCACGGGGTCCTTTGGGAAAGGTCTCAGAGGCGGCACTGGATTCTAACCGGGGAAGGTACCCCAACCATAGCACATGCCTCGGGCTGATCCTTCCAAGTCTTTCTTACAAAAGGATACACGTGCTTTCCTGTACGTCAGGAGTTACTCCCAAAACTTCTTCACAAAGATAAAGCAAATGAGGTTTTTCTAAATGGGCAAACTGAGACACAGGTTCTGTATCTTGGCTCAAAGCACATGCGGGATCATAAAACCTCTAACGAACACTCACACTTCTTCCTTTCAGCTCAGTAGTTTCAAAAATTTCGAGTGTAGATGGAAATTCCAGTGATGCAGGCTTTAGAATTACTCAGCCAGAATCATGACAATGGGGCCATCATTGAAACATATTACCAAATGAGCTTTTGTTTTAAACCTCAAAGATATTCAAAGCTACACTCCAGAAGCCTTGGAATGAAAGAAATCATTTCAGGTGAAAAGCGGTGGAATGAAGCACATGGTTTGCCAGCCCCTCAGCCTGAATGCCCCCTCCCTGGCCTATGAACTCACCCTCGAGGTTCCAACCTGGACATCATTTCCTCAGGCCGGCCTTCCATGTGCACCTGGGGGTGGGGACGGGGAGTCAGGCCTCAAGGTGCACAGAGCAGCACACAGCTAAGAGGCGCCTGTCAGAGCGCTTAGTGCACATTCTTCTCATTGCCTGTTTGCTGGTCCCTCTTCACTCTTTGGCAAAGGCCAGCAGGCGCCCAGCACCGAGAGTTGTGCAGTCAGTATCTGAATGATGAGGTACTGCTAATGCTCAATAGATCTGCACCTTTCTTTTCTCAAATTTCCAGTTAATTCATTAGTTAACTTACTGGCAAAATGACTGAGATATTTCTTCAGGCTGCTGGATGTTGCTGTTGCTTGCTGTTCTTGTGTCAACATCACATTATCACAAGTACAACATGAAATGGAAATATAGGCTGACCTGAGAAGGGTTTAGCAGAGCTAAAGGACTACTGCGGTCCACAACCACAATGACCTACTGGGTCATCTTTCTTCCCCCAGGTAAATCAGAAACAAGAAAGCCAGGTCACCCACCTCCATAGCTCCATTTCTATGAGGAGTATATTCTAACCCCCTGATATTCATAGCTCCCAAATACATACTAATTGCTCTAGTAAGTGGTATTTTAACAGAGGCCACTATCTGCTTTCTGAACTGAGTTTCAGTCAGTATAACAAGAAAAAGTTCTAGGTCATTCTGTTCCTGAGGCTCATTTGAACACAAAAAATTAGGGAAGGATGGGGGAAGCAGACTGAAAGACATAAGGAGCTCAGCCTACTAACGTGCCTCCCCAGGTCTCTTTAGTTCTGGGTTGGTAATGAGTTTGAATTTTCTGGTTTTGTCCTTTGAGGTAGGGTGAGACGAGTAGAGGATCGTGTCTGCTTGGTGTGAATTGCTTCTACCAAAAGAAGGGCTTGGTTGTGTCTGTTAGCACCTGCTATGTCTCATGCAGGAGGGGACAGCTCCCTCGCTGGCTTCTCTTCCAGATCTGTTTTCCTCCAAACCAGTGTTCACCCAGAAGCCAGCACAGCCTTTAAAAAAAAACATAAAGGCACAGTACCATTTTCTAATTAAATCCTGTAGTTTCTCTCTGCACATTAGGTAAAATCCAAGCTCCCTAACTCTGGGAGATCTCGAGTGAGCTGGGTCCCACCCCTCCTCCATCTCGTTCCCCTCCTTGCCCTGTAACCTCATGGGCATCCCTAGAAGTTCCCCAAACTCACCGAGCTGTGCCCTCACATGTGCTGGTCCCTCCAGCTAGAATATTCTTC